AGCATATCTTTGATGTACTTAGCTTGATTGATGAAGATGCCATCTTTTCTTTGCTTGATTTGGAGTCCCAAGAAAAATGAGAGCTCCCCCATCATGCTCATTTCGAATTCGCTTTGCATTAGCTTAGAAAATTATTGGCAAAGAACATCATTAGTAGAACCAAATATTATATCAACAACATATATTTGAACTACTAATAAATCTTTACCTTTATGCTTTAAAAACAATGTAGTGTCAACCTTCCCTTTTGAAAAACCCTTTTCAATTAAAAAATTTGACAATCTTTCATACCAAGCTCTAGGAGCTTGTTTTAAACCATAAAGTGCTTTTGTCAATTTAAGAACATGATCCGGAAATTTTGAATCTTCAAAACCTGGAGGTTGTTCCACATACACTTATTCTTTTATAAAACCATTTAAAAATGCACTTTTAGCATCCATTTGATATAGTTTAAATTCAAGAAAACATGCAAATGCTAATAACATTCTAATTGCTTCCATCATAGCTACGGGAACGTATGTTTCATCATAGTCTATGCCCTCTTCTTGAGTATACCCTTGAGCAACAAGTCTAGCCTTGTTTCTCACTATATTACCACTCTCATCAAGCTTATTCCTAAATACCCATCTAGTACCTACAGTAGATTTATTACTAGGCCTTTCAACTAATGTCCATACTTTACTTCTCTCAAATTGATTTAATTCTTCTTGCATAGCCATAATCCAATGTTCATCATTTAATGGATGGATCACCTATCTCACCATTCTTGACATAGTTGTACTCTCTTGGATAAGATACTTCCCTTTCTTCAATGGTTGGATTCTTGAGAGGATCATGAGTTTCCTCATCTTTCGTTTCTTCTTTTGATGATGGTTCTCCAACGTCATGTCTAATGTCATTTATAATGCCTACATAATCCTTCACACAAGAATCCTTCCTCGAAAGGAGATTATCATCGAAAACAACATGTATAGACTCTTCTACAACTAAAGTTCTTTTATTAAATACTCGATAAGCTTTAGAATTTAAGGAATAACCCAGAAAAATTCCTTCATCACTTTTAGCATCAAATTTGCCAAGGTTTTCTTTACCGTTGTTTAAAACAAAACATTTACATCCAAAAGGATGAAAATAGCTAATGTTAGGCTTTTTATTTTTGAAAATTTTATATGGAGTTTTCTTTAAAATTGGCCTAATCATTTCTCGATTTACAAGATAACAAGCGGTATTTGTGGCTTCCGCCCAAAAATATTTTGGCAAATTATTTTCACAAAGCATGGTTCTAGCCATTTCTTCTAAAGTTCAATTTTTCCTCTCAACAACTCCATTTTGTTGAGGGGTTCTAGGTGCTGAAAAATTATGGCTAATACCATTAGAAATACAAAACTTATTAAATCCAAGATTTTCAAATTCAGTGCAATGATCATTTCTAACACTAGTGATATAGTAACCTTTTTCGTTTTGGATTACTTTTGAAAATGTGATGAAATTTTCTAATGCTTCATCTTTAGTACTTAAGAATAGAACTCAAGTATATCTAGAATAGTCATCTACCAAGACAAATGCATATTGTTTTCCACCCAAGCTAGTAGTCCTAGTTGGCCCAAAAAGATCTATATGGATCAATTGTAATACTCTACTAGTTGACACATCATTAATGGATTTAAAAGAAACTCGATTTTGATTTCCTTTAGCACAAGCATCACAGATTTTATCATTATCAAATTTTAGTTTAGACAGCCCTCGAACCAATTCTCCATGAACTAACCGTTCCAAAACACTCATGCTAGCATGTCCTAGTCTCCTATGCCATAACCAACTATCATGCTCATCCTTTGCAACTAGGCATAAATTAGTCATTTCTATAGAGTCTAAATGCACCATATATATGTTTCCTATTCTATGACCAACAAGCATAATCCTATTAGATGTAATGTCAATGACTTTACAACTATTAGTTTCAAATATGACATTGAATCCCTTATCACATAATTGACTAATACTCAAGAGATTATGCTTTAATCCATTCACATATAACACATTTTTAATTTGTATGGAAGAGGTATTACCTATTATACCTATACCTTCAATGTGACCTTTTGAATTATCACCAAAAGTCACTTCTCCTCTATTTTTGGCGTTAAGCTCTATGAACCGGCTTTTATCTCTGGTCATGTGTCTCGAGCATCCACTATCAAGGTACCATGAATTTGAATTTGCTTCCTGTGCCTTGTAGCAATGCTCCTTTTCCTACAAACATAGATTAATTTCTAATTTTTGGTACCCAAATTCTTTTGGGTCCATATTCATTAGTTTCCAAAATCCTAGTCCCCTTAGGTATCAATTGATGTAGGATATCCTTATTTTTAGTAGTAATGAGTTCTTTGGGAACCCATATACTTCTAATGATTTTTCTATTAGAGGTTTGTCGGGGACCTCTATAATTTTAGTTTTTAAAACTTTTTCTAATAAAATTAGATTTTGAATTTTCTCCATTTTCAAAACGTTTTGTTCCAACTTTATCAAAAGAAGCTTTAAGATCATCAATTTTCTTTTGATGATCATCATTGACCTTTGAAAGTAAATTTTGCAAATCCAAATTTTTCTTTTCAAACTCTTCTAGTTTGATTTGCAAATCTTTGATTTTACTTTCAAGATCGTTGTTGGTTTTGGATATGAGTTTAATTTCATTTTTCAATTTTGAAACATCATTTTTATATTTTAAAAAAAATTTCTCATAATCCGAAGCCAACCCATTATATTCCTCTAATAACTCATCATAGGATAAATCATCAAAATTAGATGAGTTAGAGATTACCTTAGAATCTTCCCCAAATGCCATCAAGCACAAGTTTGCTACTTCTTGTTCCTCTGCATCATAACCTTCTTCATCGCTCCATGTAGCCACATGAGCCTTGTGTTTATTTTTTGATTGACCCTTTCTCTTCAATTGTGGGCAATCATATTTGACATGCCTCGGTTTTTTGTATTCATAGCAAATGATTGGGTCTTTTTCTTTTGGTTCATTTTTTAGGCCTTCACTTCGTTTGAATTTTCTTCCTTGGTAAGGTCTCATTATTTTTCTGAACCGTTTGGCAAACAATGACATTTCCTCATCATCGTCATCTTCATTACAATCACTCTCATCTTTTGTGGATTTGAGAGCAACTCCAATGTTTTTCTTCTTCTCATTCTCCTTTGGTGTCTCATCAATCTTATTGAGGCCCACCTCATCTTCAAGCATCATTTCATGAGTGAGGAGGGAACCGATTAATTCTTCAAGAGTTAAGGACGATAGGTCCTTAGACTCGATGATTGCCGTCTTCTTTGATTGCCATGATTTTGGAAGGGAGTAAACTAACTTCCTCACAAGCTTTTCATTTGAAATGATCTCTCTATATGATTTGAGACCATTGATAATCGTTGAGAATCTATTCGTCATAGCTTTAATATCTTCATTTGGTTTCATCCTGAAATTTTCATAGCTATGCGTTAGAAAACTAATTTTAGATTTCTTTACCTCATCGGTACCTTCATGAGTGACTTGAAGTTTGTCCCATATTTCTTTGGCGGTTGTACAAGATGAAACTCTTCTTTATTCATCTAGTCCAAGAGCACAAAATATGATATGGATGGCTTTGGAGTTGAGCTGGAACATTTTTGTCTCTCCTTCACTCCACAATCTTGGATGAGTGAGAGGCTTGATGTATCCTTCTTCTATGACATTCCATGCTCCCATGTCACTTGCTTGAATGAAGTACATCATCCTATTTTTCCAATAGGCATAGTTAGCCCCATTAAAGAAATGAGGCTTGTTGACGGGCATCGAATCGAGACCGGAGTCGAAGTTTGAAGCGGAGGCCATTGATGACTTTGATTATCGATATAACTCTTCCCGAATCGACTCAAGAGGTGATTAAACCTTCAAATGAGTTAGGCTCTGATGCTAATTGTTGAGTTAATCGATCGACGAATATGGCCAAGAGGGGGTGAATTGGCAATTAAAATTTTGGTAGAAGCTTTTGCAGAAAATTGAAAGTAATTGCACAGCGATTTAGAGTGGTTCGACTTTCTCAACCAAAGTCTACGTCCACTACCTTAGCTATCTACATTAAGGATTTTCCACAAATTCACTAATTTGTCTTTCTTTTGCGGACAAAGAGTAACCTTACAAACCCTCAAAAATTATACCCCAAATTCTTGAGAACACTCTCTCCCAAAGAGAACAATACAAATTTTCAAACTTACAAGGAAATCCTCACAAGGTAGATTGTTTGCACAATTCTAGAATAAAGAAAAGAACACTCAAGAATAATACAATTGAGCACAATAAGTGTTCTTGAAAGCAAAATGAATATTGAATGAAAAATTGGCTTGAAATGCTCAAACTTGAGGTTTGATGCTTTCTCTTTGATTCTCTCTTGATTATAGTTGCTTGATGTTTTTTATTATTGATCAATGGCTTCTGAGCTTGCTTAAATACACCTTGAATTACTTCCGAACGTTGGGGGATCATTAATGACGTTATTGGAGCCGTTTAAGTGTGAAAACAATTAGTATTTCTGCTTGGAGCGTGGGGGGAATCGGTACCCCTTATGGGGAATCGATTCCCTAAGTATAAAATTCAAATATTTCGACCGTTGAACAGTGGGGGGAATCGGTTCCCTCCGAGCATACTGGAATTCTCGGAGCCAAACCATTCAGGGGGAATCGGTTCCCTCTGAGCAATCTGGAATTTTTGGCTTTGAAATGGTTCGAAATATTTTGTAAAATCATTTTGAAATTATTTTAAGATTAAAACTTAATTTTACACTTGAGTAAGGAAATGAACTTTGAAATACTTTGAGTAATATTTTGATATTCGATTTAATATATCGAATATGCTTAGAAAAATCATTTTCAAAATTAAAATTCTTTTAATTTAATTTGTTATATCTAAACATCAAAATGTTTTCAACATAAACCACTGATTCTGAAAGTTGTAATGCTTTATGCCCCTGGCTTGGATGCATCTTTGTACTTGGCACAATCCATGAAACTTTCTGGTTTGAAACAAAGTTGTGGCAATCCTCGGCCGCTTTTAGCTTTTAGGTTTGTAATGACCTTGTTTCTGCATTCATTGTCTATCGAAAATATGCTCGGTGTAAATTACAATGCGGTGTGTTTATGAATATTTTTTTTTATTGTAGCTGTGTATCCGATGGGATGCAGACAATAGATGCACTCCTGACGTGCAAGGTGAAGAGAAAGAGAAATGTGATCGATTCAGTGAAGGAAATAAGCCAGCATGCTGAACAAGGTGCAAAATCTATCTTTGAAGTTGAACGGTCCGCTCCTTTGCTTGCATGAGTTTCTTACTTGTATGGTGGAATTAGATTCTTTACAGGGTTAGTTGGTTTTCATTAGAGGATTGTCAGTCCCAACTTGTGTGACTAGAAAAGCAAACCTTTAGGGACAGTAAACATGTGACATTTACTCATCTGGCGGTCTTAACTAACTTTCATGAGACAGAACAAAAGTAATTTAGTTGTTCTGCACTTGTTTATAGTGGTGTTATCAAATGGTTAAGATTCATATCCACTTTCTTACTCTGTATAGCTTAACCATTAGATTAACAAAATTTTCATCGTCACTCATTCCCATCCTTGTTCCAGACTTTGCCTAAGTGTTGTACGGAATAAATCTTGCCAGAGCTTTCGGCATCCTTCAGTGGGATTCAATCTAGTTTATTCCTTTCAAGGGTGTTTTTAAGCTTGGGCTATGTGTTATAGTGCAATATATAATATAATCTTTTACTTTGTAACATGCCCTAACTTGATTCCAACTGTTGTGCCCAAAAAAATATTAAAGGATGGTACATTGTATACTCTTGTATGATTTTTGGAAAGTTCTAGATCTGATATCATGCATTTGCTTTAGCATGTAATGTGTTGTGGCCCTTTCCTTTCAAATGATGTAATTCGATGTTCTAGTAACCCCACTCAGTCTTTCAACTTGCAAAAATAACTTGAAGTAGTTGGAGTTACTCAGAAAAAAGGCATATACGTTTATTCAAAAATAAGTCTATTGTCACTCTTACAATTATGGGGTCAAAGTTATCTTTTAATCAAAACAAGTGTTCTGAAATTTGGTTCAGAGCTTTTTGTATTTGCATGTCTCAATCTATATGCTCATCTCTCTCATTTTTAGGAGAGCATGGAAAATTAAACGAATGGCAGCCTCTTTTTATTGCTTGCTTATTTCTATTGGCATTTGTTGATATTTTTTTCTTCCCTCTCAACCATGATGCTTCTGAACCCTATAGACAACTATTGTTAAATATGGTAGCTAAATTTAGGTGCACTAATGACTTCTAAACTTTTGTAGACATCATCTGAAACAAAGTTAAAGGTTGAACTAGTCTTTGGTTGATCAAACTTTTGTCCTCCCAAATTGCACAAGGCAAAGTTTGCAGTTCTGGTATGACTGGTTTTGCCTTTCATTGTTGGTTCTTTCCCCTTAGTCCAAATCATCTAGTTCATCAGTTGTGTTCATATTTGATTCTCACGGATATTGTGTGGTCCCTTTGTTTCCAGCACAAGAAGTGGGAAAAGCATTAGGCACTGACCTGGGCATAACTGAGACACATAACCTTAGTTTCTGTCGTACTTTAATAAATGTTTTGTGCAACAATTACATTTTTGCCGATTGCACTGCTTGCTCATATGTACTACGTATATCACAACCCCCTGCGCTTTCTTTAGTTTTTTTTCTGTTGGTATGCTATAGTCTGAGCTATAGTTGTAGGTTAGCAATTAGCATTAGAGACCTCAACAACCCTCTTATCCTCTCCCCCTGGATATTCTTGATGATTCCATGTAAGAGTAGTAGTTAAAAACATTATGTTCTTGTATTTGATGTGAGGTAGCTTTTCAATTTTCTCTACATATCAGTATGACATTTCTTTTTTGTGCTTTGTTTGCACTAATCTTGCCACGCCATCTTCATGGTAAGTTGGGATTATAGATGTTTGATATAGGACCGATGTTAACATTTCATATGGTGATGTGTTCTGCAAATTGCTTATATGATATGGAGCTTATTATGTACTGGCTGTGCAAAATTTTGACATCTTTGTTTTATTTTACTTACCATTTGTTGATATTGTTTTTGCATATTCTAAGCATCCTCATTTTTTGTTGTTGTCAATATAGGTTTGACAACACTGCCTATTTGCACATATCTGTGGCTTTTATCCAGATGCTCAAAGCTTTAAGTATGTGGAAACAAAGTTCATTATTGTATATATATAATGGTTATATGTTCTTTCTCAATGTCGTATTTTCTTTGTTTTCTTTGACTAATCGTTTATTATAAACTATTTGTAGTGTGAATATATTGTATACAAATGTATTGCTTATATATAATATGATATATATATTTAGTATTACGAGGCATTAAATGTGATTTAGTTTGATTATTTGTCAATCTACAATATATATATATATATATATATATATATATATATATATATAATTCACGAAATACAATCACGACACACGAATGTGTATCATTTTATTTATGACGGGGGCTTCAATGACACGCAATGTAAGTCATAAATGTGTGTCATAAATTTATGACACATAAATGTGTGTCATCTTCATTTATGACGGGGGCTTCAATGACGCGCAATGTAAGTCATAAATGCGCGTCATAAATGCGTGTCATAAATGCGCGTCATAAATTTATGACGCACAGTTGCGCGTCATCTTAAATTCATGTCGGTGGCTTCAACGACAGGCAAATGTGTGTCATCCGCACCCATAGATGACGCGCAATGCGCGTCATTAAAGGGGTTTTTTCTACTAGTGATTTATACGAGCTGTGGTAACATCATTAGTGCACAACCTCTATAGACTCACATATCTATAGTTCTCACATGTGTACATGGGCTAATAAAGAAATAACAACAAATATATTACATGTGACTTGTATGCTTTTGTGCTATGAATGGTATTATATGATTTATATGATGATATGTAGAGTGTATGATTAAATGAGTCAAATGTTGGTTAAAATACTATGTATAAGAGGATATGTATTAAGTGATATAAACGATAATAATATTGATAATGAAATAAGGCTAATGATGGAAATGATGAGTGATGAATATATGTGTGTATATGTTCTTTTTATGTAATGATATATTGCATATGTGTTATAGGGATTTGTTACATGAATAAGGGTATGAGTGATAGTAGTAATTGTTCATGCATGATTACAAGTTATACTTTATATTTTATGTTTATTGCCTCACTAAGTCATAGACTTAGCGTGTGATTGTTTCACACGTAGGTTACCGAAGTGAGAAGAGTAAAGAGCAATGTGGAGCAAGACAGGTCAGTTCTCCTTACCAAAGGTCAGATCATAAGAAAGGTGAATAATATGTATTTTAATAAATAAAGTTCTAGCTGGCATGTATTCAAAATAATATATTGTATAAGCTCTAAATAGTTTGGTAAAAGGTTTTGAATAAGTTATATGTAATAATAAATTTTAAATTACTCACTATTTTATACTAGTAAAGGTTTTGAAAAGTCAATGTGACACTTCGGACTCGGATCTGAGTCGGATACGGGTTGGGGTGTTACAAAAGTAGTCCCAAATACAAATACCCAAAATCGGGCTCAATTACAAAGCAAACCCGAACCAATTATAATCGACCCAACCATTTTGGCCCAGAATGAAGAACCGGTAGACCCAAATCAGGCCCAAACCCGGCTAGGGTTTTCACCCTTAGCCCCAGCCACCTTCATCCTCAATCGTTGGATCTGATCTAGATCCAACGGTCCATATTAGACCAGAATTAGGGTTTTAGCCTAAGGAGTTATCAGTCACCGTCGCCGATGGAATCATAACTGTCCGATGGTACGCGTGAAAAGAACGTACCCAACTCTTAAACTTCCTGCCACGTGAGCCACCGATCAAGCCAAAGACAACGCTGATATCACTGGCCAGATCAAAGAATATCTAGGTGCATTTAATGCACCCAACCACCTCACCGGCTGCCCGCCCCTAATAACCACCATAGATCAGTGACTTAGAGGGAAACCCTCATTTGACCGGTCGTTGGTTCTATAAAAACCCACCTGCAAGAAAGAACATAACAAGATAGAGAGAAAGGAACCCATTCGAATAAAAAAAAGAGTCATCAACCAAGAACTAACAGCCAGTCGAATAGAAAAAACACCTAAAAACAGAATAGGAAGGGTTTTAGTCATTAGAATGTCGTTCGGATTAAGATCTATTTTGGGATCGGATGTCATTTTGGGATCGTTTTCTAAACTCTGGCCGCCGTGAACGACGACGGAGATCTCCAGCGGTGGTGGCTGGAGTCTGTCAGCTTCCCAACGGTGGGGAAAGGTAGAGAGAAGCCAGAGAGAAAGGCTTTCTCTCATTCTTGAGAGAGAAGTAAAAAGAGAGAAATGGGGTTTGGGCGGCCATTTAGGCCGATTTTAAGGCTATTTATACCCTCCCACATACGACACTGTTTTGAGAGGGTTTATGCGTTTTGGGCACATAGAAAAATCATTCCTACAGCCCTTGAGTTTTGTAAATTTTCATTTTAGTCACTGAAATAAATGTTCCTCGTATTTTAATTTGGATTTCAAATTTTACTTTGTTTCTATTTTTGTCACTAACCGTATTTATAGGTATTTTGGGTAAATGTGTAATTATGTCCTTATATTTTAATGATTTTCATTTTAATCCTGAATTGCGATGATGGCTAAATTACAATTCCAGTACCTATCTTTCATGATATTTTCTGTTTATGACCATTACTTTTGCTTTTTTTACAGTTTAGTACCCAAATTTTAATATTTCTTATTATTTTTGTCATTGATGAATGAAAATGGTTTATTTATGATTTAAGTGTCTAACATATAAAATATTTACATGGGCTGTCTTGATCTTTTGTTAGTTTTATAATTTAATCCCTAAATTTATCATATTTATTATTTTAATCCTTTATTTACATGTTTGTCAATTTTTGCTAATTGAAGTATTTTCACATATTATTTTATACGAGTAATTTAAATAAACGCCCCTTAACTGACAAGGAATATGTTTCTAAGGATTGCTCGAATAAAATAATACATTTTATGTTTTAAAGGAATTTGTTCATATTTGTATGTATATGTACATCTAAAATTAGTTATATTTTATCCGACATGTATAATGGCCTTATGAGCAATAACTCGACCCATATAAAATAATTTGACTAAGGGTAACACCTTTTCATTTTACAGTTGATATGAGGTGGTTGTCTTAACTTATGAGAAAGCTACTTCTGACAATTTAAAAATGAAAATGTATCCCGTTAAGTGAAACCCTAAAATTTGATCTCACCTAAAAATTAGGAAGGAGATAACAAGAAATGTTAGTCTATTTAAATAATCGAATAT